AAGTTCATTTCAAAAACACGCTTCATCCCCAAAGGCTCGAAGCGCGGTACAAAGTCAACAAAAAACAAATCTATAATTTACCACATTTAAAACAAACGCAACACTACAAAAACTAATTACAAGCATACAATGGCAACGTCTTTCTAGCCATTTCAACCATAAGCAACACAGCCATTATGCATTAACTGGAAAATAAGGTTGACAATCATCCCAGAAGGTGTTTGCGAAATAGATGTGTCTTTAAATCTTTAAAGTATAGGGGTCACCTCATTTCTGACGCATAACCCGCAGGGCCGGCTCAGTGCGGCTACGATGCTTGATCATCTTACAGGCATCGAAGGCGTCGAAAGAAAAAAAATAATAATTCTGAACGCTTCCCATAATTTTCCAGAGGACGACAATTGCCTATTTTCAACAAAACTAAAAAATGTCTTGCGCCGGCCCTGATCAACTTTGAACTTTTAATAAGACACACATTTGGATTGGTTACATGTGTGGAGAATTTACATTCGGTTTTCATTTTATGAAATTCGGTTAGACCGAGCAGTGTGTGCTCTGTAAATCTGCAATTTTTCAATTTGGTGTCAACCCCTAAAATGGGGTCACCCGTTGCGGTCATCACCCCCACACCTCTTTGCTACGCCACTGGGTTAAATACTTTTTAAAATTTATTGGTTCCCCAAAAAGAGGCTTGAGTAATTAAAAATAATCTCTAATTGATTTTCTCACTTCCCGTCCGTTATGTTAACCACGTGATACACCTAGTGACGCAATTAAGGATTTCTTATTCTACTAAACCGGATGCATTATTTGTTTACATCGGGTCAAGGTATTTTCAAATAATAACTGGTGGTTCCAAATGTTGAGAAAAAAAACGTCTATTTTTAAAAAAATACTATATGCCGGCCTTAAGACAATAGCCCTACAGACAATCCTACACCTTAACCTGCCCACCTTTAAACAATAGGCCTACAGACAGTCCTACACCTTAACCTGCCGACCTTTAAACGATAGACCTACAGACAGTCCTACACCTTAACCTGCCGACCTTTAAACGATAGACCTACAGACAGTCCTACACCTTAACCTGCCGACCTTTAAACGATAGCCCTACAGCAGTCCTACACCTTAACCTGCCGACCTTTAAACGATAGACCTACAGACAGTGTAAACACCTTACCTGCCGACCTTTAAACGATAGCCCTACAGACAGTCCTACACCTTAACCTGCCGACCTTTAAACGATAGACCTACAGACAGTCCTACACCTTACCTGCCGACCTTTAAACGATAGGCCTACAGACAGCCCTACACCTTAACCTGCCGACCTTTAAACGATAGGCCTACAGACAGCCCTACACCTTAACCTGCCGACCTTTAAACGATAGGTCTACAGACAGCCCTACACCTTAACCTGCCGACCTTTAAACGATAGGCCTACAGACAGCCCTACACCTTAACCTGCCGACCTTTAAACGATAGGCCTACAGACAGTCCTACACCTTAACCTGCCGACCTTTAAACGATAGGCCTACAGACAGTCCTACACCTTAACCTGCCGACCTTTAAACGATAGGTCTACAGACAGTCCTACACCTTAACCTGCCGACCTTTAAACGATAGACCTACAGACACTCCTACACCTTAACCTGCCGACCTTTAAACGATAGGTCTACAGACAGTCCTACACCTTAACCTGCCGACCTTTAAACGATAGGTCTACAGATAGTCTCACACCATACCCGTGGCCCCTTAATGATTAATATAATAGTCGCCCCACCCTGAAAAAATATAATAATTACCCGAGTTCAACCGTCATGCATGAAGCTAGCTGCGTTACATCCCCCCCCCCTCCCCACACACACACTCAATACTCTTTCCACAAAACACGAGGAGCTGTGGGGAGAGCGGTTTAGAAAAGGAAGCATGACATACCTGAAGCAATACATATATACGAGGTTGTATAACTGCCATGAACTCATTTCACTGACATCTCCCCACCCTCGTTTGGATCAGCTTATTGTCTTTAAAATAACAACAACAACAACAACAACCTGAGTTGCACTTGGTTGATCCCCGTGAGGGCCTCTCTGGGGAAATACTAAATTTAAATTATTAATAATAAAAATGACAGCGCATTACTCTTCTTAATTGAAAACATAAATAAATAAATACAGTGTCTGGCGATTTTGATGGAATAAAATCTTTTATTACGTTTTCGTGTGTAGCTGTTGTCCACATGTCCACAGAAGAGTGTAGGTGTATAATCATTTGCAGTGATTTAAGCATCTTATCTAAACATACGATGGAAAGATTGGATACACTTTTGTGTTCATGGAAGAGGATACGAATGTCCAGAGTTTGGCTACGTTAGCTATTGGTTATAGTTGGCTGAAAGCAAACCAGCCATAGAGAAATGAAAAGAAGGACCTAGTTTAATAATTGTTTTATTATATTCTTTTTTTTTTTTTAAATTTGGTAAAATTTTTAACGGTTATTTGACAATATATATATATATATAATTTGTAGAAGATATTTTGAATTCGGAATAAGAAAATAACACAATGAATGCATTTCATTTGACATTTTTAAAAGAAACACATTGCGGTATATTGAGGTGAAATGAAGATGCTTGAAATACTTTTTGTAGAGGAAACTTAACAAAAACAAAACAGCTTGATATCAGTAAACATCCCTTACTTTATTAGTTGATTATTAATTCAAATATCTATTATATTAAGAAAGTCATCAAATGTTCATTGCTCAATGAAACTGTAACAAAATATTTAAAGAAATATTTCGTGGAAAAAAAAAAAAGCAAACAAATTTACTAAGATTATGATAAAGAATAATTCACAATTATACCCCTAAAAAAAAATTTAAAAAAAAATTTCGTGGAAAAAAAAAAAAGCAAACAAATTTACTAAGATTATGATAAAAAATTATTCACAATTATACCCCCCCCTCCCCCCCCCCCCAAAAAAAAAAAACCCCCCAAAAAACAACAACCCAAGGCTGCAACAGTAATTTGTTAGAGTTGCCACTACAGTTTTACACACACACAAAAAAATAAATATCTATATTATTTAACCGAAACAACCATGGTTTTTGAATGATTAAAACTATTCGCATTTCAGCCTGATTTGAAAACAAAAATAATTATTGGTTAATAATTCAAAATTTTAATATGTTTATATATGAATATATATTAGAGATCAGGACTATTCCATAACTAAGGAATGTTCAGATAGATTCTTACTACGTAGTACGTCTGAGCTTATTCTGTATTTGTGTAGTCCAATGGAACGTTTGAGCAACTGCGTGTTCGACCGCGGTGTTCTTCTTTAACCATTGCAGTTCAGACACGAGCAGCCGCTGATCTCTCTCACGTCGAACGTGTAGTGAAGGTCGGGGACGACCTGGGAGCCACGGTAGCATTCTCTGAGCGTGATGGACTTGGTCTCGGTGGCCGTCTCTTTGCAGCACCGGCAGTCCTGGACGATGAGACGGTATAGATACTTTAAGGGGCTTTCAACAAACTCTTTGGAGTGGGGAAGAGGCAAAAAAAAGGGGGGGGGGTCTACGATAAATTAGAAACATCAGAAATTATGTTCGATGTACCTTAATCTATCACCAAAATAACGACTGCTATAGTACATGCGGCAAATGAAATTCATTTATATTCAAATACATATTTCCGCCGCATGTCTGTCTGGAACTAATGCTCAGAAATGGAACCTTTCGAAACTGCGTTGCATTATCAAAAAAAAATAAATAAAAAATGCAGATGCGTCCTGTTTAAAACGGTTTATGTTCACTTTTATGTCAAGCTTTTAGCAACAGAGACAACCTTCGGAACAGAGTTGCATTTTGAGAACAGACATTTGCGTCCCCTTTCCAAATTCTTTGCAACGTGTCGGTTTCAACGGGTTATAATCTTGTATACTTGTACGTAAGGATAACATATGTAACTCACATACATTCAATTTCTAATAACATGAATGGTCAAATCTAAGACTTAACTCAATGTCATGGTTACTGACCTTCCTGTATCCCGGGTAGGTCGTGACGCTCGGGGACACGCTGGAAACGCACGTTCCCTCACACTTGTTGAGCACCACGTCACCCGTGCACATGACCCCCACGGAGTTGCCCCTGTGCGACAGCGTGGCGAATCGGGTGATGGGGACGGTACTTTGCTGAGGTGGATAGAAGACACAAAACACACAACATAAATTATGTGTCATCTAGTCGGTGGCAGAGCGCGGAGAAAAAAAGTGAACAAACTGTTGCATCGGTTACAGAATTCGGGGTAGAAAAAAAAAGGGGAGGGGGTGGGGGAAGGAAAAAGGGGTGGGGGCGCGTTAGTTCAAAGAGAGGCTTGAAAAGTTTCATCTGTGCAAATCTCATATTATGTTATAAAATAAGGAGGACCCATAGAATTTGCTTCTCATATCAGGCCTGCAGAACTCAAAATGTAAGGCGGGCCGTAATACTTAAAGAAAAACTTGTGCGGGCCAAAAGAAATTAGGACAGGACCTGTGCGGGCCTCAAGAAAATAGGACAGTTAGGAAAAGCTATTAATAACATCATGAGAATAAAGAATATTTCTTTACGTCTCGGTCCGCAAAGTGGGTGCTGGCAAGCCGCATGTTGTGCAAGCAGCCTGTCTTATGAATTAGGACAAAGTGTCATACTGCCACGCTGTCACGGTGTCACACCATCGTACTGTCGGAAATGTCTGATCCATCATGTATTTAGAAATGGATGGAAATGTTCAGGCCATTAAAAAAAATGCATTCAAAGTTAAGGAATTAGTCAAAGGATGAGTTTTAACGTGAGTAGTCGCGTTACTTCTTGGAGACCCTCTGCCATTTTTTTTGTTCTTGTGACTTTTACATTAAAAGTTGATCGTTATTCCCCCCCCCCCTCCACATCACATGTCTGTGATGTTCCGAGGCCCCACTGCAGTCTCATGGTTTTCCGGGGCCACAAGACGGAGGGTTTGCCGGGACCACAGATTTTGAACTCTCCTGAATTCCGCTTTTTCGGAATTTTTTTTTCCTTTAGCTCGACCCTTTATTCTTAAACGAAGAAAAAGTGGCGTATCAAGGGGTTAGGGCCACCCGGGGCAGGTTAAGATATTTGCCGCCCCTTACATGAGTGCTTTGAAAATGCCATCCCTCCTTATAAAGAGGGGGGGGGGGAATCCTTCCGGGTGACCATTCCACCCCCCCCACCCCCCCCCCCTAGTGGCGTATCAAGGGGTTAGGGCCACCCGGGGCAGGTTAAGATATTTGCCGCCCCTTACATGGGTGCTTTGAAAATGCCATCCCTCCTTATAAAGAGGGGGGGGGGGAATCCTTCCGGGTGAGCATTACAACCCCCCACCCCCCCCCCTTTTCCAAAACCTCCTTCCTACGCCACTGCGAAGAAACATTTGGTAACACTCTGTGACCAGCTCTCGCGAATATTTAAATTCGCCTACTAAATTAACGATAAAAGTCATTAAATCTTGTTAAGATCTAATAACTTGTTTAGTTACGGAATCAAATAAGCACGAAAGCAGTGACTGTTACAAAGTGTGGGAATCGTCTTGGGTTGTCAAGGGTTAATTTGTTATTCTGTGATACATGTAATGGCAAGCTGAAATTGAAAGGACATATTTACCAGCAGGTTACAATCGTCGCTCTCCGTGGCGAGGGCTACCATAGGGAGCAGGCCCAAGCTGACCACTACAGTCCAGATGTGGGTGAGGTCACCCAAACTGACAAACATGTCTGTGGAAAAAAGGAAAAAAAAAATGCCACTAAATAATAAAGTTAATAAATAAAACCAAATAACAACAACCCCCCCCCCCCCCCCAACTTTCAGATAAAAATATCCTATTCTCCATTAGTAATATAGTGATGATTTTTAAAAAAAACTGTTTATTGAGACACAGATGTGCCTATTCCCACCGTAACCATAATGCACGCCTGACATTTGGAGATTTTTGACACTTGACACGAGTCTTGTTTGTTGGTGTTTTTTTTTCTCTCCTAAAAACGTCTTAGAAATAAGTAATGTTAATCAAAATAATAAACTCAAATTTTTTACAAAGCATTAGAGAAACTGTTGTTTTTTTTTTTTGCCCCTCCTCGATTTCATTCAATCATGCTTATTAGTTAAACAACCCCTAAAACCAAAGTTTTTCGTATTATTACTTTATAAAATAAAACCTAAAAGCCAAGTTTCAGCTCGATCGGTTGATGGGAAATGGGTCAGTAGGCCGTTCGAAGCTTTCGCCCTAAACACGCAAAAGCCAAGTTCGAATGAAGGATATACAAAAATTAATACTTTTTAAAGCCATCCAATCCCCACACTTTTTTTTTTGGTTGTTCCCCCAACTTTTAAGTAATTGCTCTAGGCTTTAGAAAAATTATTACATTATAAATAATAGATGATTTTAACTATTGTTTGCAGGCACATGTTGTTTTTATTCTCTACTGATATACTTAGAGCACGTCCATGCAGTGTATTTATTCCCATACGACGGACTTGGTTTCGGGAGCTTATCATCACATGTACGAGCATCTGTCGAGTGTCTTGTGTTATTGATCACGTAGTTCTGTGAGAATGTCGGCCTTCCAGCTGGGTCGCCCTAAGATCAATATTAGTGGCGAGAGGCCACATTTAATAAATATCTCACGGAATTGGCCACATCGAGATTTTGGAGAGTTGGGGGGGGGGGCAGGGGCGGATCATGAAATACGGTAAAACTGAAAGGATATTTGTTGTCCATTGCTACCTCAACAACAACAACTGATGTAGTGAAAGTGTTGGTTTTTTTTGTGTGTGTGTATGGATAGAAGTCGTTGAGTCAAGCACATGTCAACAGATACACCAACAGGCTCGTTGGGTAGCACAAAAGCAGACGCTGAAAGATTCAGTAAAATAATTATTGGGGTAGCACCATAGCGCATGCCGACAGGTGTGCTTACAGAATCGCTGTGTGGCTCGCTAGCAGTCAGCAACAGCTGCGCTAAGCGAATTATTGGGTAGCACGCCTGCACATGGCATCAGACGCAATAAGCAAATTATTGGGTAGCACGCCGGCACATGACATCAGACGCAATAAGCAAATTATTGGGTAGCACGCCGGCACATGGCATCAGATGCAATAAGCAAATTATTGGGTAGCACGCTGGCACATGGCATCAGATGCAATAAGCAAATTATTAAATTATTGGGTAGCACGCCGGCACATGGCATGATTATTGGGTAGCACGGCGGCACACGGCATCAGATGCAAGAAGCAAATTATTGGGTAGCAGGGTGGCACATGGGATCAGATGCAATAAGCAAATTATTAAATTATTGGGTAGCACGCCGGCACATGGCATCAGACGCAATAAGCAAATTATTGGGTAGCACGCCGGCACATGGCATCAGACGCAATAAGCAAATTATTGGGTAGCACGCTGGCACATGGCATCAGATGCAATGAGCAAATTATTGGGTAGCACGCCGGCACATGGCATCAGACGCAATAAGCAAATTATTGGGTAGCACGCCGGCACATGGCATCAGATGCAATGAGCAAATTATTGGGTATCACGCTAGCACATGACATTGACATTGAATGCGCTGATGAGAAGCAAGCACGCAATCTTGAAAACGGGGAATAGTAATAACATAGAAAGTGAACACTTTATCTTTGGTCAACTTCACACGACAAAGTATTTGTTCTTCTTCTTCTTATATTTGAGAGGCCCACGATCAATTTGTTGATCATTCTGGCTCTTGATTTAAATTCAGAGTTTGCATTCTCTTAGATGCGTTGCCGACCAAGGCTAGCGAGACCCATCCACCCGGGGTGCTTGGGATGTTGGCTTTGGTGGGGGATTGAACTCCTGACCACCAGCTATTTGGTTTGAGACAGTTTAGACCGCGTGGCCACTTTGTCACGTAATTATTTTAACTTACCCTAAACACCCAACAAAGTGTAGAAAAACCGAATTAAACCAATTTCAGTTTTTTTTAAATAATATTTCACTAAGTGCTTATATAAGTTGTTTTTTTTTTTGTTTTGTTTAAAAAAATTGGTCAGCATGATAAGAACGCTATACGCATTATTAAACAATAAAAATCATTATAAAAACTAAAGGAAAATAATTTTATTCTTTTAAATTTACCCCCCCCCCCCCTTTTTTTTTACGCCCCACCCCTCACCAAAAAAAAAAAATGACTTCACTTTTATTTGAAAAAGAAATTTTCTTCAGCGTTTACAAATTATTTAACTCCCTTGAAATGGGTTTAGTCCATTTTTTGTGTTTCAATCATGTCAAGAAATAAATGTGGAGCTGATGAAACCTTACGGATATCCTTTGATATACAAAAAAATAAATGGATCAAAACGCGACAAAACATCGAGGTCTCCACAATATTATTTTTTAGATTTAAACATTTTTTTTTGTTGTCGGAAATTGTTTTAATCAAAGCACTAAAATTTATTTGAAAAAATGCAAGCTTAAATAAAAACAAAATAACTGGGGAAAAAAAAATTAAATAGAAAGCTGAACAATGACAGGAGTCAAAAGCTCAACACGCCCGAAGTCTGAAGACAAAATTAAATGAATAACACATTGTTAACAGGGGGACCAAATCCAAGATCTCATATTTCCACGACACGATTCTTTTCGCGTTGCCAGATCCACGGAGATCTATTGAACTTTTTGCCTATTTATGTTCAGATGTTTTTAAAAATTCGAACGTTTAAGATGAACTAAATAAATCTGTTTCGTAATTGTAGATACATAAGTGAATGCACATCCAACACAAAGATAGATTCTCACAAAAATTAGCCGAGTACTATTAGTAATGATGAGCATTTACCTGTTTAATGGAGATGATCTTTTAAAAAAAAAATCAAATCGCCAGGTTGAAAATATTCAAATGGTGAAGTTTCCAAACGGCTTGAATGAAAACCTTGCTGAGGAGATATATATGTGTATGCGCTCGTCTAATTGGGTTATAGTGTGGTTACAGGTTCTGTCAACTGAATTATACCGCAGTGACGCGCGAGAGAACTGGCAGACGGACGACGGAAAAGACGAGGAGTTACAACAAACCTGTCTCACCTGGTCTTTAACCATCGCCTACCACAGTCTCAGCTGCTCGGCTCACTCAGAGATCTCCGCTACACCCTTTTCGAAGAAACTTATGAATTTTATTGAGAGAAGGGAAACTACTCGAATACGTCAGTGCAATAGAGTGAAACAAGGTCATCATTCTTCCATTTGTAACAAGTGCAGTACTGGTTTAGCAGGTTTAGCGGACATTGTCCTGGTTAGTCATGAGGTGTAACCAGCAGGGCATTGCGAAGGCAGTGGGGAGGGGACTCACCCCGGGCGCCAATATCATGGGGGCGCAAAGGGGTGTCAGACGTGTCTACTGCTCCTCTCCGGGCGCAACTTAAAAAAAAAAGAAAAAAAAAAGATTTTGCTCTATTGATTGGTAGGCGCCATGTTGAGGCCTTGCTTTACGCTGCTTTTCCTCGGCTTGGCTTTGGTAACCCAAACAGTTTAAGATTAAAAAATCAACAATGACTAATTTATCAAAAGCTCTACTGCATCTGACATGCAGTGCATCATTACAGCCCCTGCAATAATTTTGTTGCTTTCCAAAGCACACCTCAGGCAGACGATTTCTAACTGTAATCACAATTTTTTTTTTTTTTAAATTTGAAGGGGAAAAAAAACTGCACTTCGATTTAGGGTTGGGTTTTGGGTCATGGGCAGAGCCAACTAAGGGCCCCAAACCATTCTATGCCTTGTCAATATACTACAATCATGTCTATTGCCCCTGGGCCGCATGCGTCCCATCACGTTAAATATTGCGGCCCGCAATATAGACTAAATCCCAAATAAATTTCATCGTTCTTCGGTTGTTTTGTTGTTGTTGTTTTTTTGTTGTGGTCATTTTCAGTTCCATTTTTGTGCATTAAGAATTTCTACATAAACATATAAATTATGGGTTATTAACTAGGGATGCACGTATCTCTTTTGGATGCGGGAGGCAATGTCCGGGGGGGGGGGGGTTCGGAAAGACCCTGAAAATCAGTTTTTAAAAAACATCCTTTCTATTAACTTCGCTTCCGTTCGTGTGTTTCTTCCTGGCCCGTCTGTGTTGCAAAATGTTTGGCCGGTTAAATGACCCNTTTGACACATAGACTCGTTGTCAATGACAACACATTCTTTCAAATTTTCAGCCCCACCCCTAACCAACAAAAATCAGTTTTTCTTATTTTTTCAAGGGTAATATGAAGAAAATATGATGTCACTGATTTCACGAACAAAATTCCCGATAACTGCGCTAAATGAGATTCTTCAAAAAAAAAAAAAATCGCAATTGCGTTACGAGAGTATTTTCTCTATTGTTTTTCTTAAATAGTTGGTGAAATAAATCTGCGGCTAGATATCAATTTATTAGACGAAGCATTGAGCCCGGGTCCGGAACTTGAGGATCCCTCGTGGACCCTGTGGATGTTTCCCCAATAAGCCCTTTGGATGACCGGACCCTGCTTCCAAAAATAATTTTATTGATTGATAATTTTTATAAAAATAGTTTTAAGTTTGACTTTAACCATTTTTATTTGTTTTGACTAGGGCGTTTTCTGGCTGCGTTGACCACTTGAGGCCACTTTGTTAGAGGCATCTTCCACCGCGTCTTTGGAAGATGGACCTTGATGTCCACTTTGTTAGAGCCATCTTCCATCGCCTCTTTGGGATCTGAACCTTGATGCATCCGCTCTATGTTATTCTATCAAATTTTCCGAATCAACGATTGACTTGTTCCAACATTTATTTAGTTTCATAGATCAACTTTCGTGCTTCTTAGTCAGATGGACTGTTTAAAGGCACGTATAAAGACATATAGGCTAGACCACAATTAGAGAGTCTATATCAGAAATGTGCAAGCTGCATCAGAAATAGACAAGCTACTTAAGAAACTGATAAGCTACAACCCAAATTGAGCAGCTACCCTGTTAAATTGACAAGCTACAAATCTATTTAAAAGCTAACCCTGTCAAATTGACAACCAAAAACCCTATATGACAAGCTACCCCTGTCACATCGACAGCCAACAACCCTATGTGACAAGCTAATCAGGGGTGGACTGGGCCGCCGGGACACCGGGAAGATTCCCGATGGGCCGTTAGGACGGGTAATATAATAAAAATAAAAGTCATGAAGAGAGGGCCGGTTTTTGTTTTTTTCCCGGGCCGCTTTGATTTTTTCCCGGGCCGCTTTGATTTTTTCCTTTGATTTTTCCCAGGGCCGCTTTGATTTTTTCCCGGGCCGCTTTGATTTTTTTCCCGGGCCGCTTTGATTTTTTCCCGGGCCGCTTGAACTCCCCAGTCCACCCCTGAAGCTAAAGCTGCACAATTGACAACCTACATACAACCCTATATGACAAGCTAACCCTATCAAATCGACAACCTAAAATCCTATTTGACAAGCTACCCCTGTCAAACTGACAACCAACAACCCTATTGGACAAGCTACCCCTGTCAAATTAGCAACCTATAACCCGATCTGACAAGCTACCCCTGTCAAAATGACAACCTACAACCCTATTTGACAATCTACCCCTGTCACATTGACAACCAACAACCCTTATCTGACAAGCTACCCCTGTCAAATTGACACGCTGCATCACACCGCTACAATAACAACCCTTTGTTTGAGATCGATACACGGCAGATAGCCTGTTATTAGACCGGCGAGGATCAATAAAACAGCTTCTCATTACCCGTCTCAGTGAGTTCAAGGGAACACGTTCAACCATTGACTTAAGCCACTAGCAGACAACCGGTGGATCTAAGAGATTCGCGTCTGATGCCATTCTTTTTCCCAACCCAATCGACTTTACACATTTGAAGCAATTTTTACTTGTTGTAAAGACTTTTTTCCTTGGAAATGATGTAGAAATTATAAAGGTTTATTATAATTAAAACTTGAAAAAAAATGTTAGCAGTGTCTCTTTCATTATTATGTTAGACTATCTAGTTGCAGCCTGTTAAGGCTTGCTCTTGATCACAAACTAATCTGAACATAGTGGCTATATTGAGGTTTAATCCAGTTATATTCACATTTAAAAAAAATCCTTTATGTTAACGTCGCTTTTGTTCAAGGAGAAGATGAAAGAATTATGATGACACTGATTTAACGAAATAAAATTCCCGATAACTGCGTGAAATGTGATTCTTTTTTTAAAAAAAATAGCTGACGTTCGTTTTGTTTCGTAATATTTTCTTTTTTTTTTATCTCAAATAGTTTATGTAATAAATATGCAAGTGGGCCATTAGAATATTAATATAATATTTAAAAAAAAAATTCTAATAAAGGATTTATACCAATAACTTCGTTTTGGGGGTTGTTTAATCAAAATCATTACACCATAACAAAGCCAAATGGCCGTGATAGCGACCTTATAATTCGGTACATAACATCTTCCACAAGGTAAAGTTGTCCGCCAAACTTCAAACATCAATCATAATGGGAACGTTGCTCGTAAAAAAAGGGAGAGAAACGGGAGTGATAAAAAAGAAAAAAAATGTAATCATTGAGATCTATAGGAAACGCTAACTTTAAACAGAATGATGACTCAAAGGCGTCACATGCATGGGGGCACAACTGTGACCTTTGGACAGACTCTCAATTTTCGGGTCATTTTGAAGGAGTTCATTGACATGCTCACTGTATTGCTGTTGGAGGAACGCCGGCGACTGTACGTTACTGTCACTCTGAAGCACTCGGGCTGTTGTCAATTCTTCCAAGAGAAATACCATGAACAGCCAAGTGACACTGAGCCCCTTGGAAGTCAGAGTATACATGGCAACATGGCAGCATGGAGCCCTTGGAAGTCAGAATGCACATGGCAACATGGAAGCATGGAGCCCTTGGAAGTCAGAGTGCACATGGCAACATGGCAGCATGGAGCCCTTGGAAGACAGATTACCCAAGGCAACATTGAGCCCTTGGAAGACAGATTACCCATGGCAACATGGGGCCCTTGGTAGACAGATAACCCATAATAACAAGGCACCATGGGACTCTTAGAAGACATTGTACCCATGACAACTCTTCTGAATAAACGATTTTACAACCAGCTATATTATTAATTATCAAAAGTACCGAGCTATAGGACATATAAGATTTATGTATTATATATGAATCATTCTTTTCCTGAATTATTTGAAAGTGCCGACCACTCTCCCACATTTCATACATTAGTTAAATGTGACATCAAGCATCCTCAAGGCGCGCACGATGACGGCTGGACAAGTTTCTACTCATCCCTCCCTCCGTTTCCCCCCTCCCCCCGCCCCTCAACCCTCGCTTTTGCCATGGTCTGGGTTTTTCTTCTTTTTTTTAAATATCTCGAATCAAATCTAAATATTTCGCCCGAAGCAAAAAGTTTTTGTTTTTTAAAATTTAATGCGAGTGACAAAAATTGATTCGGTTTCGAAATGTATTGTGCAATAACTATTTTTGAGCTTTTAAGATTCTCAGTCGGAATTCACAATAATGTTGGAATGAATCATAAAAGTTTTTAAAAAAAAATGAAATCCTTTATATTAACTTTTCATGTTTTCGTGGCTGGCTGGAAAAAATATTCGGACGCTTAATCGACCCACTTCCCGTCCACCTATCCAGCTGAAACTTGGCATAGTGACTCGTTGCCCATGACAACACATTCTTTCAAATTTCCAGTCCCACCCCCAGCCCACAAAAATAAGTTTTCCCTCTTTTTCAAGGGGAAGATCAAATAAAATTCCCGATAACTGCTCAAAATGAGAATTAAAAAAAAAAAAATATATATATATATATATATATTGCACGTGAATTTGTTGCTTCATATTTTCTTTTTCTTTTTTAAAACTGGTGGTGAGATAAA